TAAATTTATTTTCTTTATTTATTGTTTAAGCAGAATCTCCTCCTAAAAATATACTCTGTTCAGTTAATAAAGTAAGTAAATAAATTTATGCTGAATTTAAATCTTGAACTTCATCTAAAAAAATATAATGAAAATATCCTTTATCTAAATTATAATTCCCCTTTTTTTTTTTAATTTAATTTTTTACTTTTTTTTTTTTAAATAAAAAAAAATACTTTAAAAATTTAGCTTAATAAATAATTTATAAAATCATTAGTATCAAAATACTTATTTTATTTTTTCCATTCTATATATATTTAAGCAATTTTGTAAATTAGTGACTTTTATTTTTAGTCAATAAAATCTTTTTTCTCACCAACAATTTCTAAATAATCTTTTATATTGACCATATAATTTTTATATTAAAAACTTGTATAATAACCTTATTTATTAATACTAAATATATTGAAAAGATTATATAAAATATACCTGTTATATAAGTATTTATTTCTTAAAAAGCTTAAAAAGAATCAACTTTAGTAACTAATTAATAATTTTTATCTTTAAGATATTTCCAAAACTCATTCAAAAATTAATCTAAATTAATAAAAGTATAACTAGTTGTTTAACTCATATAGATTTTTCCTTTCCATTATTCTTGTCCTTAGAAATTAATAATTTCATTTTATAAAATTTTTCCTTCATCATTTCTTTTGAAAAAATTAAAATCTCTAAATAAATTTCCATCAATTTATTTCGTTAATTTATCAAACTTTATAAAAAGAGGATACTATTATACTTAATCTAAAGTATTTCCGCTTTTTAAGTCTAAATTATAGTGTTTGTCTTTAGAAATTTATTAATAGAAATTCTTCATTCTATCACATAATAGTTTAGAAATTGAAGTAAAGCATATCCTAAATTGTTTATCAGCTAATTTAATTTGTAAAGGAGGTTCTAAATTTTAAGATTTGTTAAACAAATATTACATTATAGCTAATTTAATTATTTTAGATGTTGTTTTTCCTGTTCCTGATCTTCCTAAGACTATATTGGTTTCTATTTTTAAGACTATTTCTTTTTCTTAAGGAGAAAGCTGAATACATATGCCATTCAAAAACTATTAGTCGAAAGCATTTAATACTTAATATTTTCTATTGTTAGTATTAAAAATAAAAGAAAAAAAAGCGGAATTTATAATTTAGTTTTTAAAAATCTAATCAAATATATTATAATTTTATTAATTAGACATTTTTTTAATTGGTATAATAGTTAATAATATTTTATAATAATTTTTTTAATAATAATATTTTATATAATAATATTTTATAATAATAATATTTTATAATAATTATATTTATAATATTTTTTTATAATAAATATTATTATAATATATTATTTATGGTTTATCTATTTATATTTTATTATTTATAACATACATAACTCAAATTTATAATTGATATCTATATAAAAATATTTTTTTTCAATTGTAAATAAACTAAAATATTAAAATTAGAATAAAAAAATTAATAAGATTAAATATTTAAAATATATATTTCCTATAATTAGTATTATGATACAAATAGCAATAAAAATAATATAAATTATTATATTTATAAATTAAATATATATTTATATCAAATAATTATATCAAAAATTTTATAATTAATTATTTTCTATTTTTTTTCTCTTTATTTATATTATTTTTTTCTAATTTGAAATGTATTTTTTAATTAAATTTATTTTCGAGAGTTGCTTAACCTATATTAATAATTTAAACTTAAAAAAAATCAATATTTATAATCAATGCATAAATTCAATTTTTATTAATTTTTAATAGTGTGTAATTTATTTTTAAAATAAATAAATCTAAAAAATATATATATGTATAAAGTTACCTTCAAATTAAAGGTTTATTTTTTTCTCATATAATTAGTATATATAAGCGTATTATTCAAATGCTTATTCGGCATTGAGGATTACAAAATATAGACAATCCATTTCTAAAGAATTAATAAAAAATTATTATTCTGATTAAAATTCGTAAATATAACAATATTGATCGTATATACTCCTTATCTTCTTCTATATACATGTTAATATTGCTCAGGAAAAATATTATGGTTTATTTCGTTTAAAACATTTTTGTAATAACCATCATTAAAATGTTAGATTTAAATGTCACATTTATTATTAATATATAGAGCGTATTTATTCATACATTATAAGGATTTTAGTTAGTTATTAATAAAATTACACTTTTTACAAAACATAGGATATTTCTAATATTTTATTCTGGTTGATCTATGTGTATATAACCTTATTAGCATACCATAATTTTAATTTCAGGACTTATGCTAATATGAATAAAAGCTTTCGCATTTTTATTCGTAATAAAAGATTGATTGTCTTCTATTTTTCTCAAATTATTAGTATCACTAGAATAGTATTAACAATATAAATTAATTGCTAATTATATGTTTTTTTATATTATAATTGTTTTAAAATGATAGTTTAAATTACTGCATAATTATGTACTTTAAAATTAATTTTATTAAAAAACACATTCTTTACAAACATTATTTCGTTTTTTATTTTAATATAAAGAATTCGATGTTTTATTTTAATATAAAGAATTCGATGTTTTAAAAAAATATACATTTTATTATTTTTTTTCCATATTCATATTACATATAAATTTTTAACTTATGATTTAAATAAAACATATCCAAATTAACAAAAATTACATTTTTTTATTTGAAAAACGAATATAGTTTAGTGAAAATTTATTATATGATTTCCTTATATTATAATGTTTTTTATTAAAAGTTAAGATATAATTGATTACGATAATGATTTTATTTTATTATTATGTTATCATAAAAAGAAAATTAAGTTAGAAAATTAAAATATAAAGTTGAAAACATTAAAATATATTCTTAATATCTTACATTAAGTATTTTAATTTTAAATTATAAAAAATTAAAGTTTAAAATTTATATTAAACTAATTTTTTTATATATAAAATACTATTAATAAATTAAATTTTTGAATTTCTGTATAAATAATAATTAAAAAACGTCTAGTTTTAATTTTTTTTACTTTTAATTTTATATTTAATATTAAGCAATATATAATTGAATGATTATTTATAATAAAAAATTATTATTAAATATATAAAAATAAGATATATTAATTTAAAAAAAAAAACAACAACAAAATATAAATAAGAATTTATTATAGAATAAATATTAATTTTTTAATTATTTCTTTATTTAATTTTACGTATAAAAATTAAATATTTTATAAATTTTAATAATTAATTTATTTAAAATAAAAAAAATGTTCTAAATTAAAGCAAATTATAATAATAAATAATTTAAATTATATTTAAATTATAAAAAATATATAATAACATTAAAAAATTTATTATTCCATTTTGAAAAATCTGAATTGATAAATTATACACTTACAGATATTGAATTTGTAATAGATTATTAAGAAAATATACCAACTCCTGATACTTCTATTACAAATTAATTATTTTGTGAAATATGCTTGATATTTAACTATTTTAAAAATTCTTTATAATCAATATCTTTTATTTTTCATGATGCTGATCTAAAATATTTTGAAAATTTTAATTTTCAAAATATAATTTTAAATAATTAAGTTTAATTAATTCTTGATTTTTAAAAAACAAATGATCGTTTACAAGTACAAATTGCATTATAAATAATTAAAGGCTTATATTTTTAAAATAAAATAACTACCTTAAAATTATTTATATGTGAAAGCATTAAGGTGTCTCCAGATTAAATAAAAGAGCTATTTTTATTAAATTTAAAATAATTAAATTTATAAAATCTTACTTTGTATATTAACTCTTATCTAAATTCTAATCCTATGTAACCTTTAGAGGAATAATATTTAAATTATTCTTTATAAACATTAAGCTTAAATTTAAAAAATGCGAGCATAGGATCATAAGGTGCATTGTATTTATCAAAGTTTCTTAAATAATGTTATTAATTAAATACTTTAGAGTTGAATTTAAGATATAATAAATTAAATGATGAAGATATAAAGATAATTTTTTAATCAATTTAAGATAAAGAGTTAATTTAAGACTTAAATTTAGGTGTTTCATGTAATATATTTAAAGAAAATGGGTGGAAGTATATAAACGAATTTTTTAATAATTTCAAATCTTAATTAAAAAAATTAAAATTAGATACTCGATTAATACAGATACCTAATTAAGAAAATTTAAACTATAACTTATTTAATTCTTTTTAAAAATACAAATATATTACTCAATTTTACTTAAATATTAATTTTATGAATATACCAAAGGTTCTTTTTTATGAGGCCTTATATTAAAGTCTAAAAAATATGGTTTTTTTGGAAGATTTGAATATATAATTATAAGATATTTAATAATTTTTTAGATTGGATAAATTTTTGTCTAGTTTGAAATACTTGGAAAATTTACAATTCATAAAATTGAATTTAAAATAAGTCTAATATAACTAAAATCATTTATGTCTTTTATAATAAGTTTTCAAAAATGCTAAAGAGCTAAAATATGTTAGTTTATAAATGTAAGAACGAGGTTTTTTATAAAGAGTGGATATTTATAATTAATTAATGTTGCAGATTATACAAACATTGAAAAAAAAGTAAAGCCTAATATATGTTAGTATGTAATAATGTATAAATTATGTATTAAAATTTAGTTATTAAGATTTATAATAATAACTTTTATTGAGAAGAAAGTGTATTTATTAACTTTTTGAAATTAGAAATTAATTGTTAAATACACTTTTTAAAAGAAAAGAGATTATAAATGATATTTGGAACTTTTTATTAGATATATGAAAATAAATTATTAATATATATTTATTTAAATATTAAAATAATGTCTATGTATTTTTTCTTCATATTTATATTTTTTATTTAATTTTTAATTTATTTATTTTTGAAACAGAAATTATATTCAAAAAATAAAATAAAAAAAAATGAGCATTTCAGAAGAAACACAATTTTAATATAATTAAAGTTAATAATAATCTAAATATTCGCCAAACATTTAAGATACTTTATTGAGATATAATCCAGTAGAAATAGTAGAATCACCTCCAGATAAAGAAAATTATTTACAAGATCCTTTAGATATTAAAAAAAGGCCATAATTGCCTACACTTGATTAAAAGCCAACAATCGAAGATATATTAAATAGCATTTTTCCACCAAGAAAATGGGAATAAGATGGTAAATATTAAAGATAAACAATATCATGTCAAGAAGCATCAAGATTAGATTTACAAGAATTAGAAGAAACAGTAAATTATAAATTAAAAGTTAGATAAGCTAGGTATTTTTTAAAATAAATAATAATGTAAAATTAAATTAAAAAGAAAAAATGGAATATGCCCTGTAAGAGAAGATTTACATAATTAATTATTTGATGAAATTATAAGATAAAACACAATAAATTGTCCTGAAAGAGGTTTTTTTTAATTAAATAATTTTTTTATTATTATTATTAAAAAAATATAAAAATAATAGGTTTATTACTTTTAAGAGTAAGAGATAATCTTAGAATGACATTTGCGGCTTATTAAACTCTTTATTAAGGGTCAGTTGTTTTTGGAGTTAGAAAAGCACTTTAGGCTGAAAAAGATAAACCAGAATTATAAGCAAGAATTGAAGAATTAGATAAAAAGAAAATATTTTTACAAAATAGAGTAAATTATATTATTTATAAATATTTATATTTGTATTTGTTTATTTTATATTGATTTTTTTTTTATGTATAGTAAATTATATTAGAAAATGAACTAAGCTCTATTGAAGAAAGCTTTAAAGAAATAAAAGCTATTGAAGAGGAAAGAAGGTAAAATGAAACTAATTACCTTAAGAACTAAACAAAAAGTTTAGAATAATTTTTAAAAAGTGTATAAAATAGTATTTGAAAATATAAATTATTTAGTATATGTATAAAAAATAATATATTTTTTAAACATATATTAAATTTTAAATTATTATTAGATTAAAATTATTTAAAAAAAAAACTAAAATTTTTCATTATAAAAATATTTGTTATATTATTTAATATGATTGAAAATGTATATTTTTAATATATATATTAAATATGATTTTTTTTTTATATATATATTTTTTTTTATAAATTAAAAACTTGTGAAAAATTATATAGGATTGATTAAATATATATTAAAAATATTATTTGATAATTATATAAAAAAAATATATTTATTTTTTAAATATAAAATAATATTTATATATATATATATATATATATATATATATATATATATATATACTTTTATTTATATATACATGGTAATTTAATAATAATTGTTTTGTTTTTATAAACTTATTGTAATTATATATATATTTCATGAATTTTATTTTTATATTAATTTGAAAGATTCACATTTTTTCTTTAGAATTCAATTTACATTAATTTAAATTGTTGCAATGATAATTATATTTTCTAATAAAACAATAAAATAAAATTTGTTTCCTAAAAAAAAAAAGTATATCTTCATAAAAAAAAAAATATATACATTGGATTTAAAGTTTTAGATTTATAAAAAATGAATAAATCTATGAAATTATTCAATCGAAATATAAGAAAAAAAATTCAATAAAATTAAACTTCTAATAATATTAAATATAAATAAATAAGTATAATTTATAATAAAAAAAAAAAATATAATAATTTATATTAGAAAATTATATAAGAAATAATTTATTTGATAAAATAATAATATAATAGAATAACTTAATTTATTATTTAAAAATAATTACATAATAATATATATTATAACTATTATTTTTGTATTTTAATATAAATAAAGCAAATATAAAATTTAAATAATTATTATAATTAAAAAAATAATAAATATAAATATTAAATTATTTTTTAATAAATTTGAAATTAAATAAATTAAAATTATTTCATTAAATTCGAATTTTCTTATATTTATATATAATTTAAATTTATTTAATTAATAGTATTTTAATTTAATATATGATATAAAAAATATCATAATTAAAAAAAATTAATAAAAAGAAATGCATATTATAATTATGATTAAAGTTGCCTTATCAAATCTATAATTTTATCTTATCATATTTATAAATTTCATATAATTATTATTTTTATTCCTTTTTTTCAAAAAAAAATAAAAATAATAACATATATATAATATAAAAAAGAAATTAAAAAGAAAAAAGAAACGCCTTAATCATTAAATAAAAAATGGAAAAAATAAACAGGGAGTCGTTAACTTCTAAATTCTTTGTAGTCTTAGTTTTTATATGTGTAGTTTATTTAGGAAAAAAATATGCAGTCCCTACTTCATCAGTAGATTGCATGAATGATCCTGTCCATAATTATCTATAATATTTTAATGATTTAGTTAATTAAGATAAATAAATAGCATTATTTTTGTAAATATCAAGTTCTTTATTGATGGATTTAGTATTTTTGGGTGTATATATTTATTGGATGTTGAAAATAAACACCGGGAGACTTATATATTCAACTGCTATATATTATATTGTGAGAGCTTTAACCTAAACAATTGTTACTTTAAGATTCCCAGAAGGATATTATTGGAAGGGTCCTTAATTTCCTAGTATTGTAGTACCTTATGGATAAAATAGCGACTTTTTTTTAGTGGGCATTGCGGATTTTTAAACTTGTGTGCTTTGGAATTGATTAGACAAGGAAAAAAATATTTATTTAAACTCATTTGCTTAATAAATTTATATATGGCTTTTGTTATGCTTATTTTTAGAATTCATTATATGTTCGATATTACTACTGCTATTTTTATGAGTCATTATCTTTTTATGCTGGTAGAGTAGTATAATAAGATTCTAGATTAAAATATTGTAAAGTATTATAATATTGTTAAATAAAAATTAAATTATTAATATTAATACTCTAAATAATATTAATTACCTGTATATTCAAATGAGTGATAGTTTTACTTTATATTTATTATTTTACATATACATTATCATTATATTTATTTATGTATTTTTTATTTGGTTTTTTAATTTAATGAATATTTTTTTAAATACTTTTTATTTTTACTTTTTAATTTTTATTATGTATTTAATAAATTTTACATATATATATTATAACATTTAATAAATAATAAAAACTAATTAATTAAAAAAATAAATAAATAATTTTAATTTTTTTTAGGATTAAAATAATATATAGATAGTTTTATAGAAAAAAGATATAAATTATTATTTATATTTTTACAAAAAAAAATTCTGAAGAAAATTACTAATTTCTATGACCAAATTTGAAATTAATTATAATATGATACATAAAGTATATAAATACTAAAAATGATATATAAATGTGTGAAAATTGCATAAAGAAATTTTTTAAAATTTTAAAACTTTTATTTGCTAACAATAGTAATTATGCGTCCGTCATTAAATATGAAGTAAAAATTTAAGAAATATCAATTAGTTTGTAAATAAAATTAGAAAAATTATGAAGAATAAAAAGCTGAAATAGAAAATTATAAAAAAATTAGAATATATTAAAAATCACTTGTATAGTAATAAAGTACAATAGATTAAATATTAAAAAATAATTTAGGTTAAGAATATTTAATTTTAAATTTGTCATTTTGCATTGAATATAATAAAAAATTAGATTCAAGTAAATCGTTTTTAATATATTTAATTATTTTTTATATTTTGGTTAAATTGTATTTTTTTTTCTTAGACCGTACTTTATTAAAGCGCGAATTTTTTTATTGCAGAAAGTTATAAATATTAAAGAAAATACTTTAAATTTATAAGATGATGTTATTAGAGGAAATTTTTTTGAATGAATTATTAAGGTCGATGTAAAATTAAATAAAAATGTTTTATCGATAAATTCTTATTAAAAATAATATTCTGAATAAAATTTGAAAGCTATTATTGAAATAAGAATTTTATATAAATATAATTATTGGACTATTTTAATTCATATATTTATTTTAATTTTTACTTATAATTGTTAATCATAATTTTCAATTTTTTTTTATATAATTTTTAATTTAATGAAACTATAAAAGTAAATAATTAAAATTTACAAAAGAATAATATTATTATATATTACAAAATTATAATAATAAATAAATAAAAAACGCATTAAAATTTATATTTTTATAATATCAAATAAAATTTAAATAATAATTATTTTTTAAACATTTTAATATTAAAACTATTTGTTTTTATTTATTATTAAAAGAATAATCTTTTTTATCTCATTTTTAAGATTTAAAAATATAAATTCTATTTAAAATAATGCATTAAGATTATTTTTTATTGTTTAAAAATGTCAGAAATTAAAATTTAATTTTAAATAAAATAGCTCAATATTATTAAGTAGGGTTTTTAAAATAATTTTATAAATAAAGCTTAATTTATTATATAAGCATTGTTGTTGATATTTTTTACTTAAATATTTTTAAATATATTTATTAAAAAAATAAATACTATTCTTTTGCTGTTATTATTATTTTTTTAAATTTAATATATATTAAAAATAATTTTATATTATAAAATACATTATAGTTAACTTTCTATGAACATAGCAGTATTAAATTCTTCTCCTAAACGATCATGTACATTAGAAAACATGTTTGAAAAACAATAAATTTAATCATAAAATTAACTTTAAATATAAACCTTGACAAAATCAATAAAATCATAAATATCTCGAAGTATTATATAATCAGATTAAGAAATTGCTTTTAAAAAAACAAAAGAAATTTAAAATGTATTACCAATAAAATATGGAGATACAATATCCATAAGTCCGGCTACTTTAGAAAATAAATTTATGATGTCAGATGGATTTATTTAGACAAAAATTTAAATTAAAAATTTAAATTTCGATGGAAACGGAGCTTAAACTGAAAGATGCTTGTTTAGGATTTATCCATAATTCAATTTTAGTTATCTTAATAATTTAAATAATAAATAGTAAATATCTTTTAAAAAAGATAAATAAATTTCAAATTAATGTTTAAATTTGGAAAGAGAAGTTATTATAGAATATAAATAAAACCTAGATCTGTATGAAAAAATTAAAGGAACTGAAGTTTAATTCAATACAAGTATTTAATTAATGCATGTTGCTTCAAATAAATTCCTTTGTTGCAATTACTAAGAGTAATCTAATATTGAAAAGGAAAATTTTTGTTTAGATTTATAGTAGTTTTCTAATTTAAATACTCTTTTTCAGTTTAAATAATGTTATGAACATTAAAAAAGAGCTGATAATATAATTTATTATAGAGATATTTTTTATTTAATTTGTTAGAATAAATATTTATAAAGAATTCCTTTCGTACATTACTCTGAAGAACGTAAATAAAATAACGAAAGTTTATAAAAAGAACTGTCGTTTGAAAATGTAAGCTTTATAAATACTTTGGGATAAAAAAAAATGAATTCAGAATAATAAATATCAAAGGACAATTTACATTCTAATTAAGCTGTTTTATCTAATATAGAAATTCCATTAGAAGTAAAAAATATAATATATTTAAATTAAACATTAATCAATAGAATAGAGCATAATTGATAAAAGCTGATGATTAGATTATAATGAAAATATAATTGGATCATATAAAAGAAAAGAAAATATAAGTGAATACAAAAGGTTAATATTTAGCTGTTCCTCAAGAATCTTAAATTCATATATAAAATTAAAATAGAGAAAATAACGATTAAATGTAAACTTAAAATATATCTTATAAATAATTAATTAGCCGAAAATCCGAAAACATTGAGAAGTTCAAAAATTCTCAAAAACGCATTAGCTATGAGGATAAAAACTAATAAATTTAAGAAGCTAATGTCTCTTTGGAAGCAAAAACTTAATGGAAGGCTATAAAATACAGCGATAATATCTAAAACGAAGATTTACTTTAATTTGGAGATAAAATTTGGCTAAATTATATTGAAAAAGGACAAAATTTGGTAACTAAAAGGACTCAAAAAGGTCAAATTATACTTCAAATGGAGAATTTCGAATAATCAGATCAACAAAGTATAAATTATTCCAAAAAATATGAAGGAAATACTAATGGAATGTGGGTGATTGAAAATAAAGTTTGGCATAAAGGAGGCCCTGTATAATGGGGTTAGTATTTTTATTTAAGAAATTTCAGTACAGGATTATATTTATCAGTTTTATTTGAGAAATCTTAAAATTTTTTTTAATATATTCTTAAAACCAATTCATTTCCTGATGAAAGTTCGCTTTTTTCCTTTTTGTAAGTGGATTTTACTGGGTAGCCATTTGTAACAAAATATTCACTTTTATTTATAAAAAATAGATTATTCGATGGAATAATTTAAATAGGAAAAGAGGATAGTACTTAGCTTAAAGTTACTGATTTTTAGGCTGATTAAGATAATGAATAAATATTTTTCTAAGGAAACTTATAAATAAATATTTACAAAGGAAAAAATCTCAATGAAAATGCGTTCAAAATTTATAAAGCAACAATATAAGAAGTAGAAGAGGCTAACTTTTTGAATAGCTGTTTACCTATTCTTAATTAATGCATTAAAATTTTAAAAAGCATAAACGGAGATAAAGTGAAAGCCTAAAAAGCAATAAAACACAAAAATTTAATCGAAAATATTAATATGGCAAAACAATGTATTATTGACATAAGCAAATTTTGCCAGAATAAGCTTATTGTTGGGCTTGATAATTACTCTTCAAGTGGAAGTCATATTAATACTTATAGGCAGAAAGTACTAGCAGAGTAGTATTTTATTGATTTAGTAGTTGATTTAGTAGTTTAACTGATGAACGATTAGGAATTGCAGGAATATGTAAATTTTTTGAAGATTGAGAGAACGAATAAATTTATTTAAAAATTGAAAAATTATATGAAATTATAAAAAATTAATATTGAAAAATTTGATAATTAGTTGCAGTTAAAAAATAAGTGTTTATATAAAAATTCATAAGAAAACTAATAGCTTTTTTAGTTTATGAAAGTTAAAGTTGAAGTTATTAAACTTTCTTATAATTTATTGACTTTTATATGCTAGAATAATGTTGAAAATTAAAAAAATGTTTTTTATTAAAAAATAACTCATTTTAAATTCTAAGCTAGATATCTGAAAGAATCTATTCATTGTATTGTTGATATAATTAGCAATAATGAAATTATTTTGAGTAATTTAACAGATAATATTAATATTTTGAATAAAAATAGAAAGTCTTTATCGAAAAATTTCCCTTTAAAAAAATAGTTTTCTAAAGAAATTTAGATATAATATAATAATAAAGATAATGTTGTTGTATATTTATTGAACTTATTTTAATATTAGAAAAAATTTATTCATTTATTGAAATTCTTTAGGTAGATTTGTAAGTTCGATAATAAAGGGATTTCTATAAATTAGGAACTTATATATAAATTTTTATAAAGTTAGGAAAATTTGGAAAATAAAATGTTTTTATTAATCAAAATAAATTCTTAAAATTAACTAGAAGTATAAATTGATAAAAATTTATATATAATAAACGAAGAAATATGTGGTAAAAATATTAAAATCAATAGCGAAATATAATATTTGATAGAACAGATAAACTTCTATGCAGATTTGTCTTTATCCCGTAATTATTTATGGAATAAATATTTGGAAAAAAAATTCCCTATTTAATTTATTCTATAGACTATATTTAATGAAAATCTTCACTCTGATTTCAGATCCGCATTTTGTAACTTATTGCTTACAGTATATATAGACCGTGAGCCTTTAAATATATTAATAGTACCTTAAATGTGTAGAACTTTTAACTAAAAAGCAAATATATTATCTCCAAATAGTCATAAAGAATATGCTGATATATACAATAATTTTTCTTTCGTTTAACATCGCTTATATTTTGAACAATTAATTAGTTATTCTGATGAATATATAAAAAAATAAAAAATAATTATTAACAATGACAAATGTGATAAACTTACTTTTAATATTGTAAAAATACTAAGCACATTGCTAAGGTTTAATGTTTTATAATTATTGGATAAGAAATCTTTATATCCTATTATTTTTTCTTCTCTTATAGGCTTATTAGAGACAGATTAATAAAATAACGATATTATAAATCATGTCTAAAAAATAAGAAATATAAAATACACTAAATAACTTTTTTAATAAAATCAGAATAAAATAATTGCAGGAATTTGCTGTGTAACTAAAAAAGTTAAGCAATTAACGGCTGAGATGTTAGATGTTACATAAAATTTAACTTAAAAAACACTCAAAATTATGGGAAATTTAATTGGTATAACTTATCGGAAGAAGAAAATTCTGAATGAGGAACTTTCTTAATATGATGAATAAGTTTTGAGTTAAAATCCATTGTTAGGAGGTCTTTTGTAGCTTTTGTAAATTATAAAAGAAGGAGAAAATCATGAATTAAAATAGGCTAATGTCCAAGTAGAAATAAAATAAGAGATTTGCAATTTGGTTCTCTTCTTCCATGATATGAGAATCGATTATTTATTAACTAATTTTATAGAATGGTTTGGATAAATATCCAATTTAACTGCTTAGTAAATGGAAAAAGAACTGAAAGGAAATTCTATTTAAAGTACTATTCCAAATATTTCAAAAACAGGAATCGATGAAATCGATATCTAATATAAACCTAAGTAATTACCGCCATGGTTTTTGAGGCCTTTTGTACATATATCACCTAAAAATAAAAAAAAGCAATTTGTAGATTATACTGATTTTAGTATCAATTAATTTGATGATTTAGATACTTTAATTACTGGTGTATGTCCTAAACATTAAGAATACAAATAAGTATATATATATTTTTTTTTGAATAATTAAAATTATTAACAAAGATTCAATCAGAAATACTTCCTAGTTTACTTATAACATTTTATTTGGCAAGTGATAGTAAATTAGAAGATAAAATATTAGAAATAATAATAAGATAATTTTCTTAATGTGAAATGATTTTTACTAAACTTCAAGAAATAGAAATCTTATTTTCGGACAAAGATATATTTCTCTACTAATTATTAAAAAATCGTATCCAATAGCTCTAAGTAATGGCTGAAAAATCAGAAGTTTGGTTCATGTAATTTCAAGAAAACATAAAATAAACTTATTAGGGCGAAATAGTAAAAAATACAGAGAATAATTTAGAAATTAATAAAATTATTTAAATTCTGGATGAAATAAATTCTCTTTTTTTTTCAGGATCTGAAGTAAACGGGGAAAACAATAAAATACAAACTTCTTAATTTTATGAATACATATAAAAAAATATAAAAAATACGAGCTATTATTAATAATAGTAAATAATGTAATTTATTCCTGAATAAATAAATAAGAATAGATAAAAAATATTTAGGTATTTAGAAGGACATATTCCTATAATAAATTTAATAAAAGATGTTCAAAATTAAATTTGTTAATATTTAAGAGATTAAAATTTATAAAAAGATTTAATTTTATCTTTATTAGAAAAGCTTTATTCAATTCTAAAACATTTTTGTATAAATAATTCAGAAAACTAGCAAATTTTGGTCAAATATATCCCTTTTTTTATTGATGAAATATCCTTTGATTTTGGCCAGTTTGAACTTATAAAGGCAATTTATGAAAATAATAAATTTCTATGTGAAAATTTTTTTAATGGAACTTTTTTTAATTAGATTTTAGTTATTATTAAATAATATGGAAGATAAGCTAGATTTATTGAAATTCTCGGAATTATTCAAAAATACACCATTAATAAATAAACAATTTCTCTAATTGAAAATTAGATAAATGTATATAATTTACTAATCCCTTTAAACTAAAAACATGACAAGAAAAATTTAGAAAATGTACTATTTGGATAATTAGATTCTAAAAATTAACTCAGATTTGATTTTTCTTTACTAGAAGAAGATGAGGATGATGACTAAAATACAGTATTTAATTAACAAAGTAACACTTCTTATGAAAAATATTATATTGATTAACCTTTCCTTTACCATTCTGTTTTATTGAATATTTTTTCTTAATGTGTAAATGGGGATGAGGCATTCAATATTAATTAATATAAACTTGTTAATATTTTCAGCTTATAATATTTGATAAGAATTTTAGTTGAAAAAGACTCTTTTTTACTAAACTAAAGTTTTTTGGGAGATACTGAGAGTTATTTTGGATTTTTTAACAGAGCAAAGGAAATTAAGGTGAGAAGTAAATAATAAGGATTTAATTATTTAAAACCTAAAATTTTAAGTTTAATTTTGAATGTCTTTTTAAACAAAAATAATCCTCTTTTAAGTTTGATTATGTAAGAACATAATTAAATTATTGAATTTATTGAAATTGAGATCAATAGATTTATTACAATTCCAAACGCTTAACTATATTCAGTAAATGATTAATATCTGGAATATTTTATTGAAAGTTTTGTATATTTTTTAATTTAGTTTATTAATAAAGTTATAAAAAACGGAGGTAATTAGAATGAGGAATTACTCTAAAAGCAATATTTTTAATATTTAAGTTAATTGGGGTCTTATTTAGTGGATTAATAAAATTTGTTGTGTTAAAAAATAACAAAATTTCAATAAAATATAATTTTTGAGTTTCTTTTATGTTTAAATATTGATAGTAATACTTTTACTAATAATAAAGTTAATAATATGTACGAAATTTTAATAAAAGAAGGCAAAAAAAAACTTTCGTTTGAAAATTAATAAAATATATATGAAGAAATAGGAGAGGAAATATTAAAAAATCAAACAAGCAATAAAAAGTTTACTTAAATTGAATGGAAAATATTCATAAAAAAATGCTTAGAAAATCCTCATGTAAAAAATTGTTAAGAAAAAGAAATTACCGCACTTGCAGAATGTTTACTTGATGTAGAAAAGCTTTACGATAGAAAAATAATTTTTAAGGATTTTTTCAAAAAGTTTATTTGCTATTTAAAAAACGGAATCATTAATAAAGTTAACTAAAATAATATGATTTATCTTCTTAAAATTCTGGAAAAAATACTAGATATTTCACCAAACTACAAAGGGTTAGGAGAAATGCAAAACCTCTTTGATTAATTAGAGGCCACTAAAATGTTTTTAGAATTAATTTCTGATATAAAAGAGAATCCTTTTGATGATAATCTGTTTATTTAATTACTTTCGTTTATGATTAAGTTGATTGAAGGAGGAAACTAGAAAGTTTAGAATACTATTTATAATTATTTTATAAATCATTAAAAAAGTGAGGATTTATTTAATAAATTTTTTACAATTCTTACAGAGTATGTGGAAATTTTAAAATTAAAATAAATCAAACAAATTCAAGAAAATGAAGCCAAATTAAGAATTATGACTTAAAATAGTTAAATTAATAATATCAATAAAAGCTTTGAATTAAAAAATTTTGACTTTATTTCTATGGATTCAGTTAATAATGAATAAGAGGAATTTCAGAACTTAGTTCTTAATACTATGGAAAAAAGTACTAACATATAGGAAATATAGGAAAAAAATAATAAGGAGTAGGAAGAAAATTATTCATAATCATCAGTATTAGTTGTTTATTTATTAAGGCTATTGTAACTTCTGTGTGAAGGACATAATCTGTAATTATAAAATTATTTAAGGTATTAAGTCAATAATAGAAATTCTTATGATATCATTACTATTATTGTAGATGTAAAATTTATTTTTTTTAATTTAGGAAAAAAAAAAAAAAAAAATATTTAATCATATTAAAAGTTATTTGAGTAATTTGTAAATAAACTAAATAAAAGAAATTTTCAAAATACTATAAAATGTATAGATACTTTAACTGAGTTTGTATAAGGTCCTTGTTATTTAAATTAAGAAAAAATTATTGATTCTAAATTTCTAGAAATTGCTTAGTTTATTTTAAATAAATAAATCAAAAAGAAGTTTATTAAAAAATAAGATTAAGATATTTAAAGATGGTAATTAGAAAAACTTAAATACAAAATTATGATTTTGGTTGCTGGATGTTTAGAATTAAATTCAAATACTTTAGTTATTAAAAGAGTTATGAGGAGCCTTCCTTTATAAACTTTAAAAAAAATTTAGCTAATATATACAGAAGATATAAAAAATTATATGGGGATCAATATACAATGAAAAGTCTTAAACATGTTTTTTTTTTTTTAATTCGTAATTAATTAATTTTTATTAGTTTAATTATGAACCAAATGAAAATACACTTGATAAAGATCTTAGATATTATGAACTTATTACTGAAACAGGATTTTATATATTTTTTCTTATTAGCTATTATTTAGACTTACCTTCTAAAGTTTTATCTTCAACTGAAAAATCTTCTAAAAATAATCAAGATTTATTAGACAATGAAACGAAAAATTAATTAAATGAAATTTAATTTGATTTTTTTGAATAAAAAGTAAAAAAAAAATTATTAATAAAATAAATTATTTTAAAAAAATTAAATAAAGACAATATAATATTTACACAAAATTTATAAATTTAATTTTTAAAATTTATTCATGAATTATTAATTAATTTGATATAATAAATAAATAAAATTTAAGAGAAAATTAAATAAAAAATATTTAAATAAAAAGAATTTAAAAAAATAAAAAATGCAGACAAAATCTAATCCGACTTTAAAGAAGGAATAATTTTTTTTAAAAAAAACTCATCATCAATAGAAATACTTATAAATAATTAAATTGAAAAAGTTCGTTTTATAAAACTTCCTTTTTGTCATTATCAACCAAAAGAGTCCAAAAAATATTTTTAAGATACTGCAAAGAGAACTTCTATATTTACAAAATTACAAGAAATATTAGATAACTATAAAAGAATAATAGTTATATGTAAACATGAGGAATAGCTTTTTAGGTTTTTTAACAAGAATTTAATTTTGAGAATATTAGCCAATTATGTTGATATTTGGAAAGATATTGCTTTTTTATTGTCAATTGTTCTTAATATTTTAATCATTTTAAGTATTACAAATTCTAATATTGAAAATAAAGACTTTTCAAGGATATAAATTAAACCAAAACTATGGAATCTATCAATAAAAAAAACGCATGATATATTTGAGTCTTTGAGTTTTTTAATGATTTTCTGTTCGATGTTTATTCTTATATTTTTTCTGATAAAAAAAGGCCCTTTATATTACAAAGAGGCATGGTATTAAAACAAACATATAATCATAAATAATACAAATATCTTCACTAAAATCACAAAGTATTTTTTTTTGATAATTTTAAGTTTAATTAAAGTATTTTTGAATTTGGATATTATATATTATATTGCATATGGTTTTTTTTCAGTTTTAGGGACTTTATAACACCCCTTTTTTTTTTGTTTTCATCTAAGCGAGTTTTTATTTAGATATCCTACTTTAAGAAATATTTTGAAATCTGTTTATGAACCATATGTATCTTTGGTTTTAACATTTATTTTGATTTTACTTTTTATTTATATTTTTACAATATTTGGATATGTTTTATTAAATTAAAAATATCAAAATAGATGTGAAGAATTATATATATGTTTTTTTGAAACATTTGATTAAAACTTTAAAAATAATGGAGGACTAGGAGGGTTTTTTTAAAATAACATTGTCTAATCAGCATGTTTTTTATATTTATTATTTAACTATTAATAAAAAAATAGAAAATTATAATTTTTTTGATTTTTTTTTTGAAAACATGGGAAATATTATTATCAATATAATTCTTGTTTAAATTTTCGCAGGTATTATTATTGATAAGTTTAGTTAATTAAGAGGTTAAGAAAATGAAAAAATGATTGATATTTAAGAAGTTTGTTTTATTTGTGGAAATTAAAGGGAACTTTTTAATAGGAAAAGCGATTAAGGGTTTATTTAGCATATTAAAAATGAACATTATTTATGGAATTATATATATTATCTTGCTTATTTGGAAGATAAGGAAGTAACTGAATATTCTGGAATCGAAAGTTATGTATATTTTAAGCTTTAAAATAAAGATTTCACTTGGTTTCCAATATAAAGAGCTGCAGTACTTGTAGATGAAGAGTAGTAAATTTAATAAGAATTATAAAAATATAAAGACTTATAAAATGAAGTATTTTATTTTATTTTATTTTTTTAATTCTTAATTATAGGTAGATTTTATTAAACAAAATTCATTATAAATATTTTAATAAACTAATGAATTAAATGAATATGTAAATATATTTAGATAATAAGCTATTTTATATAAATATTAATAAATTTAATAAAACAATAAATGAATTAAATATTAATATTTAGTTAAAATAATTAATTAAAATTATATTAGAATTTGTAAGTTTAATTTTTTTATTTATTAAATTAGAAAATTTAATTATTTTTTTTTAAATAAGCGATTCATAATATTTAATTTATATTTTTGTTAATATTATATTCGTAAAAAGAATTTAGATAAAATTTTATTTTTATGATAATATATATTATTTTTGAATAATAAATAAAAATATTATTTAATAAATATCTCAATTACTTATTTTTCTGAATAATTCTCTATCTAATATTTTGATTTTTTACCGAAATTTAAATTTTATAAATAATTTCTCAAATACATTTAAGATTTTTAAAAGAATATTTTAAATTCATTAAAATAAATTTAGACCGAATTTTTTCTCTTAAATATTAATTATTATTTCGTTATATAAAATTTTTAATTATAATATCTATCTATAATTATAAATTAATTAAATTAAATATGTAAAATTCAAATATAGTTTTATAAATTTTAATTAATTTAAAAAATAATTTAAGCATTTAAATAAAATAAATAATATATCGTTTAAAAAAAAAAGTATATTATCTTTTAGTAAAAATGTTTATTAGAAAAAAATAAATATATATTTATATAATTTTTATTTTTGTATAAAAATTTATAATATTTAATTTTAAATCAATGCATTTTTTCCCAAATTTAAACATAATTAGAAAACTATTATTCTTTATTTTCTATTTATTATTATTAGTCTCCTTTTAAAAAATGTATCTTCAAAAATAAATAACTTACTAATCCAAATAAGAAGCTTATCATATTTATAATAAATAACTAATAATCTTCTATTCTAAAAGCTGAATATAAATAAAATTGGCATCTTGGACCAAAATAAGGTGAAGGACAATAACAATAACTATTTTAGCATACTCCATTATTAAAGCATTATTTTTCATTATTACAATCTGTTTTTAATTAAACGAATTTTCTATTTTTTTTATATTCAATTTAACTATTTTCATATAATTCTTTTTTTAATTATCGTTTACTATATTATATTTATGAATAAATCAACTTGAAGTAGATAGAAAGAGTTACAAAAATTAAAAAAGTAGTTGATATATTCATTTAAAAATTAATTTATTAAAAAAATTAATAAAAATATAAATATTATAATAATAGTTATAAATTTATTTATTTATATTTTTTTTTTATAAAAATGATATCATATTATTAAAATTATTTTTTATAAACTTTTTAAAAAATATAAGCATAAATACATTTATTATTAAGGACTTTAAGAATAAACATTAATAATTATTAGTTTTTAATTTTCTAAAAAAAATTATGAATTGTTTTTCTTAATATTTTAATTCAAAAATATTAATAATTTATGTTACAAAGTTTAAAAAGTTATGTATATTTTTTTAATAAAAAATATTTTATTTTATTATTTTACTTCTAAATGGCGAAATCTTTATAAAAAAAAGTTATATTTAAATCTATTAATTTAAATGATTTTTATTTTATTTTTAATTAAAATAATATGTATTACAAAAATTTGATTAAATAAATAAAAAATTAATAACGGTAATCTTCATAAATTTTTATTTTTTAATGATAAATTTTTTTATATTTTATTTATATAATATAATATTTTTATTTTAATTTATAATGTTCTAACTAAAAACAATTAAACCTTTCTCAAAAATAATTCTTTATTAAAACTACTAAAAAAAATTTAATATTTTATATATAAAGAATAATTTTAAAAATAAATTTAATAATTTGTTTAACAAATATTATTAATAATTTATTATAATTTATTCATAATTTTTTATATTAATTTATGAAATAATTTTATATTTTATATATTAAAAATAATTTCAATTTATTTAAATAAAAATTTCTAAAATAATACAAAAATATAAATATATTAACAATATTAGAATAAAAAGATAAAGAACTTAAGAATTTGATATAAAATATTTAATAATAATCATACTTTTAATTATTATATTTAAGTAAATTAATCTTAATAATAAAATAATTAGTATGATAAACTCAAAAAATGTAAAAATTATTTACAGAAAGATTTAAAATTAATCAATCAGAATATCAATCTTGTAAATTTATATTAAATTTTCAAAATAGTAATTATTTCCTTTTTTAAAAATTTTAAAATAATGAAAAGTAAATATCAAATGTTTTAAAAACATTTTTATTAATATAAAATATAATTTATATATTAATATAATAATTTTATAAAATAAATAAAATATGATAAGATATATCATTTAAAACAAATATATAAGTAAAAATTAGTTTTTTATTAAAATTATTTTTTATAAAAATTCAGAATTTTTACAAACTTTCATCATTATTTTTTATATACCTAAAAATATTTAGATTTGATTTATTACTAAATAATTTCATAAATGTATTTTAAGTATAATAATGTATCTTTTTTATATTATTTTGTTTATATTTTACAATATAAAATAAATTAGGATAAAATAATATAAAATAAAATATGTAAGACTAAAATAAATCAATAACAGACGAAAAAAGCGCACAATACATAAGCAACATATCTCTAGACCAATAAATAATTGAGAAAAGGCAAGATAGTGAATAAGAAGATGATAGATTAAATCCTTAAGATGTTTTTCGTCATAAATATAAATGGTATTTTCTTGTTTTTGCAAATTTAATATTGGTAGGAGGTTTTTTCACTAATTCATTTTAAGCATTTATAAAAGAATAATTTATGCAATCAATGTAAATCGATAATAGTTAATACGGACTTTTTGTCCTTATTCCTCCCATACCGAACTTTATACTTCCGATTTTCGCAGGTCTTATATTAGATAAATTAGGTTTAAGATTTTCTATTTTTATTTTTGCTCTTTTATAACCTATAGGTATGTTATTTTGTTTAATTTCATATTACGTTAAGTCTTTTGAAGTAATGATTTTTGGAAAAACATTTCATTAAATAGGTAGCGAACTAATACAAATAGCTTAAAGTAAATATATAAAAAAAAAATATATATAAATATTTTTATAGGTTCTATACTAATAAAATGGTTTGACAACACAACTTTAAATACTGCTTATACTACTGGAAGCTTTATAAGATAATTATCAAGTTCTTTATCTGGAATAATTGTCCCTTTGCTTTATTAGGCTAACAATAATTTATAATTGCCACTTATTGTAATTTTTTTAGTTTGCTTTTTTCTTTTTTGAGTGCTTTAGGGCTTATTTATATGGACAAGATAGCTGATAGAAGACTTAATTTAGTAAAAGAATCTAAATCAATGAATAAAATCATTAATATTAAACTAAGTGATTTTAAAAAATTAGGAAGTATTTATTGGATTTATGCTTTTTAAGCAGGATTGTGCTTTGGGGTATTTAATTCGTTTATTAATTATTTATAAACTGTTTTAACTAATAAATTTTTTATTGATAAAACTATCGCTGGATAAATGATTTCAGTTCCTTTCTGGATAGGAATGACTGCGCCTGTTTATGGAATAATTGCAGATAAGTTTGGAAGAAGAGTTTATTCCTTATTAGGAACTATTTTAATTGGAATGACTACTATTTCGTTATTATTTATAATTCCTGGAGATGTTAAAGTAATTATTATTTATATTTCGCTTATTATGCTAGGAGTTTATATAGCTAGTTTAAGTGCTTATTTAATGCCTTGTTATCCTTTAATATGTGAAAGAAGATTTGTAGGAACTGCCTTTGGTATTGCATATGGTTTAAAAAATTTAGGAATTTCTTTATTTAGTTTTTTAGGACAAGTTACTTTAGGAAAAAACAAGATAGATTTGAACATTTTTTTATATTTTTTTTAAGCATGTTATCTATTGCTATGCTTTTATAATTTTTAGTTTTATATTTAGATAAGAAGAAAGGAGGAAAACTGAATTCAAGAAAACCTAAAATCCAAGAAGAAACTAGAGAAATTATTTCAAGATTATAAAGTTTTGTATAATGAAAAAATTATTAATTATTTAAAAATATTAAATAAAAAGTTTTTTTAATAAAAAATAATAATAAAATTTATTTTATATTTCCAATAAATTTAATTTTTTAAATTTTAATTTTATTAATATCAAAATAATATAAGAGTTAGGTTTTGGGGTTCGGGGTTTGTTTTTTGTCTATTTCTTTTTTAAAAAAAATACTTAGGAACGCAAAATGCAAAAAAAAATTATTAATCGTATTTTGAAGAAAATAGTACGTTCAATTTGTTAATTTTTTACAAACGGAAAAAAAAATTTTAAAAAAAAATAATTATATAAATATATTATATTAATTTTTTAAAAAATTATATTTATATTTAAAATAAAATATATAGAATATATTATTTTTAAATCTAAATTATATATTTATATGAATAATGAATTAAAGAAAAATTAATAATGTATAAATAAATAATATATATAAAAAGTAAAAAATATTATATTTAATGCTCATATAAATTAATTTTTTATTCAAGTATATTTAATAATACTCATATATTACATAAAAATGTTTATTTAAATATATAAATTTAATAAATATATATGTGTTGGGGTTGGGGTTGGGGTTGGGGTTGGGGTTGGGGTTGGGGTTGGGGTTGGGGTTGGGGTGGGGTTGGGGTTGGGGTTGGGGTTGGGGTTGGGGC